TTTCATGCCAAGTAAAATTGTCCATAGTCATATTTATGCTCCTAAAGTAACAGAATGACTTTTAATCTGGAAAAGAAAAAAGAAGTGCTAATGTAGCATTTTTTCAATTTTTCTAAATATTTATGTTTTTAAAAAATTCTGAGCTTCAGAATTTCTGGAAATTTTACATCTCTACGCCTTCTGGTGGAACATGCTCCCTACTGAGATCAGGGCTCTGCGGGATCTTATGCAATTCTGCCGGGCCTGCAAGACGGAGCTGTTCTGCCAGGCCTTTGGCTGAGGCAGCGGGCATCCACATATGCCCCCCCCCAGGTTGCAATCTCCCACCCCCTGATAACTGGCCATACCTAGTTACATCAATGGGCCAGATTCTCCCTATGGCCGGATTCTCCCTGGGTTCTGCTGGGCATCTGTACATTGCCATTGGGCTTGCAAAAGTGCCCCCCCCTTCAGTTTCAACTGTAGAGGTTTTGTGCTTTGGCATTATTTCTGTTGGGCTTACTTGCACTGTCACAGGGGCCCCAGGTTCTGCTGGGCATCTGTACATTGCCATTGGTTCTGCTGGGCTTGCGAAAGTATACCCCCTTCAGTTTTTACTATAGAAATTCTCTGGTTTGACTTTGGTTCTGTTTGGCTTGGTGCATCAGCTTGTGGTTCTACTGGGATTACTGAGTTCTGCAATGCTTTTGTTGGTTCTCAATGATTGCTACTTGTAGGGATGGTTTTTTGCTCTGGAAGCAGCATGCAGGCTTCCCCCTCCCCCATCGTAAATAACAGAAGATGGCTGGGAGCACTTTGTTCAAGAGCCTATAGAATTGGACCCCATTATCCAAACTACTTGAAATTTGGAAGTTATTTAAAGGACTGTCACCAGCAGGTCTGCTGCAGTTTTGGTGCCTCTACCTTTAAAAACACCCTCCTCAGCAACCCCAACATTTTCCCCTTAGGGAATAATGGACCAGAAAAATTTAGAAACCTGGGGGGAAAAAACCAAATCTGAATACCATATCAGTATTTGGAATCTAGAAATATTGGGGTTCAATGTACCCGACAACCCCCCCCCCCATTTTTAGCCACCCCTATTGACTAAAACATATGGTATCTCTTCACATTGTGAAGCAGTGGACTCCTGGGGTCCCAACAGTTCTCTTCAGAGTTCTCTTTCCTTCCCTTGTTGAATAGTTCAAGAGAATTCTGCTTAAAAGATTATGCTGTGTGGCAGGCTGGGTGGAAGCCTGGTAGAGCTGACAATAGCTTGTGGCAAAGAGGCCAGCCATGATCAGGCTTAGTTTCATGGATAAAGTGGAGGGGCAGGTAGCTCTTGATGATCCACCTCATACGATTATTGTGAATGAGACAGCTGCTGGAAAGTGCTTCACATGTAAAAGGGTGGCACAGAAATGATAAAGAATACAGATTAATAAATGAAGAAATGGCCTGTGAGTACTGTTTTGCCAAGGGCCTGCAGTTTCTCTAAAGAAGCATTGGATTTAATGAGTAGTGGCAAATGAATTGCCTGCATATCCTTCAGGGTTAATCATATTCAGCAGTGTTTGTTTAAATATGTTTGTTTTAATTAAAAGCGGGATTTGCACATTGGGTGCACAGGATCCCTCAGCTCTATTGCAGGAGGAATAATTACAGCCTTTGGGTTTTATGTCTCTCAGCAGTGTCCTTTAAAGATATTTAGATGTTTTCAGTTGAGATGAAAGGCCACACAGATTTCTTTTCCTCCCTATTAATCTGACACAGACCTCTGGGTAGATTTGATTATTGGCAGTGTTGGTCCCTTTAGCTTATTCTGCAGATGTTAGATTGGCGCATGTGACATTGTGGGGGGAAAGATGTTTCAAGCCGTCTGACTGTAAGGATGCACACATAGCGTATTAACACCTTAATGCCACCTTGCGGTTCATTGTCAACAATGTATTTCTTCTCTGCTTTTGTGATTCCTGATAATAAATTAATTGTGCCTCCCAAAGAGCAGTGTCGGGGGAACAAAGCAATCAGTGTCACCATCTGCTGCCGTTAGGTTTGTGTAGTTGAAGGAGCTGTGTATCTCCATCACTCAGGAATGTTGATAGACCATGACGCTGGCAGGAACTCCTTTTGCCAAAGATACCAGTCTGGGTATTGTGGGAGATTAGCACAGAAATGGCTCCCATCATTCTAGAACTGTGGTTGTGTTTGTGCAGCAAATGAGATGTGGAGACACAGGAGCACCTGGGCTGAATATTACAATAGTAAGATGATTGCCTAAAGCTAAAGCAGGCAAAACAAAATGTGAAACTTGACTGTCCACATACTTTATGAAGTTATTAGACCTTAATGGCTAAATTCCTCTGACCTAAGGAGAAATGAAGCCCTGGACATGGACAATGGTAGAAGGCGAGGCATACATTTACAGCCTAAAGCTATAATTGTATAACCACTTTGCAGTAACTCTACACTAAATCTGCTTTCTGTGATATGAAGTTGCAGCTTACAGAGGCTTCTGTTTCACCACATTTCAGAGAAAACAGAGGCACCAGCTTTTACGCATTGTAGCCTCTTGTGCTGGACATATCTCCTATCACTGTGCTGCTAACTCAGCAGACAATTATATCACAGCAATATAGATGTCTGCAGATACTTTCCAATAGACTTCATAAACCACAGTTGGTTGCCTCTTCCAGGCAGACTTCTTGAAAGTGTTGCAAGCTGGACACCTAAAATGCAGATTGCTCAGATTACCAGCCAATTTCAAAACCAGAAAATGACAAATATGAGCAGTATGTCATCTGTTTCCCTCAAAAGACTCTGAATGTGCACCAAGATGCCCTCTGTAAAACCACAGCAAGGATTCATAATCAAAGATGAAGAGAGTTAATATAACAAAAGCTGCTTGTGATATTTGGAATTTGGGTTCAACTTCTAAGTAGTCCCAGATCACTCGGAACATTCAGCCCCCCCCCCCCCGCAACTTCAGTAGAGGGAAGTCAATAGCAGCTAGAGGGCCTATGACATCCCTGCCTGAAAACCCCCCAATGTGACTTCAGAACAGATCAGCCAGTGGCCACCTCAGCAGAAAGGTCTGAAGACGAATGATGTGAAAAGTGTAAAAATGGGAGGGGGGGTTCTTTGAGAGAGTAAAAATGAGGCTCGTGCGCTATCGGCAAAGCTGATTAAGCGTACGAGCTGTTTTGCTGCCAGTAGAAAATAGACTGCTGAAGCTGAGATGCAGCATGTCTCAGAGTAGAGTAGGTGGGGCCAGCCTTTATAGGCTCGGCCCCGTTCCCCTCCTTGTCAGTTGCGCCTCGTGCTCGGACGTGGTTGACATCCGAGCACGTTGGGGGGATCGGCGTGAACAGGCCTTTGCCGGCCTGGAATACGATCTCGGAGGCGGCTTCAAGGGCGGCTGAGCGATCGGGATGTCGGCGGCTCGGGGGGACTATTGCAACCTCAGGGAGCCTCTTGGGTAAGCTCCTCCCTGAGGCTGTAGGGCTTCAGGGGTAGGCGCTCCTGGGAGGTGACCTGTGTGCTGGGCTGCCGGTCGCGGGCCAGAGACTTGGCCCTAGACTGGGGCTAGTGACTTGCCCATACATCTAGGCAAGGAGGTTCGCTAGAATGACACCTGCCTTGCCTGTTCTGCTCCCTTGCTGTTGTATTATTATGCAATAAATAGTTAATAAAGTGGCCCTTGTTTGAATTCCAAACAGTTGTCTGTCTCTTTATTTCCGGCTCTGGGGGCAAATGCACACCATCATTTTGATGGGCCCTTCGCTAGTTTTTCTGTGTTAGAACATAGCCATTATTTGTGACATTGCCAACTCCGCCAACTCAGAGTTCTTGCGTTACCTGCAAGGGAAATAGATGGCCTCTGTTCCTTGTGGTATACTTGTCTGGGAAGATTATACCTCTGTCTATTGAAGCTTTACAGTATTTCTTACTGGGATGTCACAGCAAGGAAGCCACATGTTTTATGAATCAGAAAATTAATACTATAGCACAGACTTTTCCCTCCTGCCATATACATATGCATTGACTCAGCTTCCCTTTACAGCTTGTCAGTTGATTTTGGCATAACAATGTCCATATTTTACCAAGTGGACAGGTTTGTTGTGTCAGTGTTTCTTTGTGGTACATTTAATATTTGCATCGCTAACTGTTTTTAGTGTCACTGTTCATGTTTCCAGTGGGTGGGCATTGGCAAGACTCATCTTGTCTCCAGAGCTGCATTAATGTGGCATGTCTGTTATTCGCCCACTGAGTAAACTCACAGCAGAGAGATTTAGCCTCTGTTCTTAGACATCACTACATTCATGCTTATCTGGGTTCTTGTTTCTTAGGGTATGTTTGCATTACAAATATAAACTGTGCTAACAACTGGGAATTGTAGTTCTTTGAAGGAGCTAAGGGGATTTCTTATTATAAAATTTGCATAGCACTTATAAAATTACATGCCCAAGGTTTTTTGAATGAAGACATGACTGTTGAATCAGTTTCAAATAGGTTTATGTGAATTCATATGCTTAGGTATTTATATTTCACCCTATCCTATGAACATAGAATGACATAGCAGTTTTGTCTTTATCTGTTCCTGTCCCCATATCTGTGCTTATTACACTTTTTCTTCCCAAATTTAACACTATTTTTGTTTCATTCAGCTCTCTTCTCAAATTCTCAGACAAAAGTTTTATTGCTAAAAAGTTCCTCTCATTTCACTTTTTTTTAAAAAAAGGTATATATAGTCTTTAAATAGCTGTGCACAGGAAGGGTCCAGTCCTGGTGACACAGTGGGTAGAAATGGTGGTCACTTCGTCTTATTGGACAGCTGGTTACTTCCATGAGGGAGGAGTAGCCCAGTCCCAGCTAGTGAGGTCTATGTGGACCTTTACGAAGCTGGGATTGAAAGTGAAATTAGCAAATTCTGTGTAGTTCTGCTTTGCAGATTAAATCCAGAGTATGAAATTGCTTCAAGGTTGAACTGTCTTTTAATTGTCCTCTCTTTCTCCTTTCAGCCAAGAAAACCTGTGCTGAAACTGATTTCACCTGCAACAACGGCCACTGCATTCCATCTCGATGGAAGTGTGATGGTGAAGAGGAATGTCCTGATGGGTCAGATGAATCTGAAGCGACTTGCAGTGAGTACTTTCACTGAGTGGTTGTGGAAATGTTTTTGATCAATTTGAAAAGGGGAAATTGGAATTAAAATTAATCAGATTTTCTCATATTTGTGCTATTATCCTGAAAGAGATCTTTCAGGGATATAGATTTAAAGCGGAACACTTTGAAGCTGATGTGTTTATTACCTCCGTTGTGCATGAATTGCATTTTAGGCCTAAGCATTAGTTTACCTCTAGAAATCTGCAAGACAGTGAAGATAGGCAATTTGCTAGAGAGATATAATCTTATTCCAGGTGGTTATTGCTTCCTATCTCCATCTTTACAGTGGAATGGATGGCACCCATTCTGGGAAAGTGACATCAAATGTATCTAATGTGGTTGAAACTGGGAAACTTATTTGGCTGAGATCATTCAGTAGAATGGAAATTGAAATGTACTAAGAAAAAAGGGAATCTTACTACTGTTGTAATAGTTTGCAATGCATTTCTTTTATTTTAAATTGCCCAGTTCCCTGCCCTATTTTACACATTTTATACTGTATGTCTGCAGAATCCAGGCTTTAGCAATACGAATCCCTAACTCATGCAATGTCTGGCAGCTGTATATACTGTATGTCTGGCAGCTTTTATACTGTATGTCTGCAGAATTCAGGCTTTAGCAATACAAATCCCTAACTCATGCAATGTCTGGCAGCATCTGTAAGCATCTCTAGGAAATGAGGGTAGATTCTAACATAACCTCTGACTCCCCTCCATTGAAGAATACCTATGAACATATTGTAAAAAAAGTTAGATAGAAATTCAGTGTTCAAACTTTGTTTTATGCAGATAAAATATACACTAAGGGGTCTTGAAATTCTGATCTCCAAAAGCTGTTTCTGAATGTAAACCTCCTACTGCTATATTGTTCCCAAGTTGTTCAGTTGTTAGTGAACCAGCTGATCTCAAACCTATGTTCGGATCCAAACCCATCATTTTGCATTCATTTTCATCCATTTCTCTTTGTATAAATATAAAGTCTGAATTAGTGAAATTTATTGTTTGTCTGATTAGGGCATGAATCCCCTATGTCTAGTTTTGCTTCTTGGTTTTGAGTTGCACGTTAAAGTCTGATTATTCCAGGTTGCAAATTGATCTCATGCAACTGCATTTCTCTAGTGCCGTCCCCATAATGCATTACAGCTGACAGATTTTCAGACAGTACAGCACTCTGAGAGCTGTGCTAGTATCAGGCAGCACCAAGCAAGCAGAGGCCTGGAACTCAAGTAAGATTGCTTGCAGGCAATAGCTAAAATAGAAGCCAAATCTATCCCAGCAGGATGGATTCTTTTGCAAATACAACATTATTGTAATGGTCATAACACACTCAATTTGCTCCATTGTATCTTCCCATGTTGTTATTTTCATCCATTTCCCATTGATCTGGAAGAGTGGAGAGTTTCTAAACATTCACTGATGCTGGTACATGGGTATTTAACCCAAAGGAAATGGAACTGACGGGTTAGGTATGTGTGAGTATGTGCACATATATATATTTTAATATTACCAGCACTATCTTGTTCGGGGAAACTGCTGTGTGGATGTGATCGTAGCCAGGGCTGCACAGAACTTGTTAAGAGCTTAAATGAAACAAAAAGGTAAAAAAGGTATCCCTTGCTCGAAAGCTAGTCAAATCCGACTCTAGGGGGCGATGCTCAAAGCTAGTTGAATCCAACTCTAGGGCGCAGTGCTCATCTCCGTTTCCAAGCTGAAGAGCCAGCACTGTCTGAAGACGTTTCCGTGGTCATGTGGCCAGCATGACTAAATGCTGAGGCACATGGAACACTGTTACCTTCCCACCAAAGGTACTTGTAATTTCTTGCTTTCAAACTGCTAGGCTGGCAGAAGCTGGGGCCAGAGACGGGAGCTCACTCTGTCTCTCGAACTGCTGAGCTACAGGCCTTCCAGCCTGCAACTTCAGCATCTTAACCTCTGAGTCACCGTGGCCCCATAAAATATATGAATAGGAAAATATTTTAAAATATGAAAATATGCTCCACAGTTCACAAAGGGCCAAAGCATTTCCTTAAATGGCAATAATTGTCACAGCTTGGTTTCACAGCATTGAAATAAAGCACTAACCATGCCCACTTAGAAGCCAAACTGAAGAGTTGTAAAGTGAGGGAGGTGCCGTCAGAAACAATTATTCCTTTTCATTTGGGAAAAATTGGTGGATTCGCCTAAGCTATTGACAATGGTTCTCTGCCAGAATCCAATGAGAATAATAGCTGGAGTAGAGGTGGAGCCAGGGGTGATCTATCACAACTGTTACAAATGGTGAGAACACTGTGTATGATCCATTGGTAGTTGTGTAGACAAGCAATATGACTGGTTGGAAGGGAGGTACCCTGCCTCAATGGAATGGTATAGCATCATGGGGGCCCATGGTTCAAACGGGAAAGGCCTAGATTCAGTCCATAGCATCTTCATTTAAAGGATTTCAGGTAGTACACTTTGGGAAAGAACTTTCTCTCCCTGAGGTCCTAGAGATCTGCTGCCAATTATGCTGGACAATACTGACCTAATGGACCAATGGTTTCACATGGTGAAAACAGCTTCATGTGTTCATGTGGGTACATGAGCAGGACCTAAGTGCAGAAGCTGATTGGACTGGGTGTGTAGCCCACAGAGGCCTGAAGAAAAGGGGACAATGTGGGCTCCAGGCACAAAAAAGAATATTGATAAGTTCTTCCCATCAATTGACTGATATTTAATCAGCCAGTCAGCTCTCTCAGGGCTTTGAAGGCAACTGTATTTGCTAAGCAGGTATATATTTACCTGTATGGAAAATGTCTTCTGAATCGATTAGAAGAAACTAGGCGATCCACAGATTTTGAAAGGGCAGAGAATGCCTTCTTATTTTATTAATGTGTTTTATTTTTAACATTTATAAGCTAGTCTTCTATTCAAAAGATGCCCAAAGCGGTGAGGCAGTGTCCTTTTTCTCTAAACCTCTCCTTCCAGCACTTCTATTATTTTTTCATGTATTGCAGCTTGTACAAACTAACTGCAAACAATGCATTGAATTTCAAGTCATGCATCGCATAAGTGTATTCTCAGGGGTGGATCATGGCAACAAGCATGGTAGTTTATTTGATGTTGCCAGTGTGCACTGCAGAGAGGAATGTACAATTAACTATCTTCTTTCCTGTTATTCTTACTGCTGCCTAATTAGAAAAGATAAACACACATCTTTGGTACTCTCTGTGGCTGCAAAAAAAAGAGGCCTGTGCTGGAGAGTAATCACTTCAGCAGTGACATTAGCATACTGATAATACTCCAGGGCTTGGTGTCTGTCTGTCTCCTTCCTAGTCAGTCTTCTTATTAATGCAGCACCACCCCCTCATTGGACAGGCTTAAATTAACTAAGCAGTTGTGCTTCCCACAATTCTCTGCCTGTAAATCTCTCCAACCCAATGCAACTGAATGGCCTATGTTTAGATTACACAGTTCACTCTAAGGCCCATGAGGATTTCTTTTGACCTCCATCAGCCTCTTTATGAGCCTAGTGATACATCTCCTATAAAGAAGATCAACCTGCACTATAGAAAGGTCGAAGCCTGCTGTAACCTGAACATTAACACAACCAAAGGGACCACAGTGTGTAAGGATATCAGAGACAACTAAAGCACAATGTATGATCTAGTTCAAAGATCTTGTAATTGTATGCAGGCACTTATCAATAATAAAGGATGCTAGTACTTCCAGAAATTGAAATGGTATAATATTTAAACAAAATAATTAAGAAATTCAGTACTGGTGTTTCAAGAGAAGATCTTGTAATTGTATGCAGGCACTTATCAATAATAAAGGATGCTAGTACTTCCAGAAATTGAAATGGTATAATATTTAAACAAAATAATTAAGAAATTCAGTACTGGTGTTTCAAGAGCAGGGGTTTGAATTGTATGCAGGCACTTATCAATAATAAAGGATGCTAGTACTTCCAGAATTCTCATTAACTTGAAACATGAGAACGAAAGTATGTGCATGTACCGGTTTTACCTCAGAATTTTTACCCCTGATTTCACCTGACCTTTCCCCTCTACATTAAATAAAATACTTTGTTATTTTTGAATTTCAAAATGCCTTGAGTGCCATTTAAGTTAAACTGGGCTCCTGATCTTTCCCTCAGGCTCCTGGGCTGAGCCAACAGCCACAATATCATACTGAGACAGGGTGGGACAGCAAAGAAGAAAGCACGTTACTAGGGCAGCTCAGTCAGTAAAGGGAAAGAAAACAGATGGAGAATCTTGCCTCTGAGGGAAAGAAGTGGACAGAGCTGTCATAACATCTGCCTGAAATGTTGAAGAGTGATTATTAGAGGTATGCATAACCTCACTCCCTGACATTTTTTTATTGGCTCCACCTCCTGCAGCAGCCATTTTGTAGTTGTCCACACCATCCTATGTCAGATTTGAAAGGTACCTGCAGGCTAGAAAAGGTTGGGAACCCCTCCTTTTACTTAATAGCATCTCTATAGAGCCACAGAATACATATGTTATTAAGGTGTTTTCCTGCAAAATTACTCCCACAGATCATATTTGTGTCTGAATAACTTGTTGAGGAAAAATCTAGCATTTATCAGGACCCTTTACTTGTCCAAAATGAATTCTGTTCAGTAGACTTATTTTCTTGCTGTCAAAGGGTGATGGAATGTACTCTCTATCTCTATTTGACATAAAACAGCTGTTTAAAGAGCCAGTGATCAATTTTCTGAGGAAGTTTTTCATTGGGGATACAATCCTACAAACAAATGAATAACTTTAAAGTTGCTGGAAACCAATAATATGCAATTTATTCCTTACAGTTTCCCATAAAGCTTCTTTTTTTCTCTTTCAATTGAGCTGAGGAAGCTCCTTGAAAAAATATGATCAACCAGCTTAACGTTGTTTCACTTCACCAACTTTTGCTGGTTTCCCCCCCTTTCTTTGCGGAGGTAAAATTTTAAATCTGCTTTTGAATTACTTAGCATATTT